CGCCCGCCCTGCCTGCCTGTCTGGCTGTCTCCCTTTCCCCGCACGCAAGCCCGGTAGGTCGCAGAGCGTCTCCTGCACACGCGCAGGAGACGCTCTTGCACTTTCGGGGGGATTTAAACATTCCCCCGAAATTTTTTTCAACTTTTTTTATTTTTGTGCACATGTGGGGACTGGCCCACGTGTGCACAAACCTCCCCCAGCCCCCCAAGTGCCCCCGAAGTGCAGATATAGATATCCGCACGGAGGGGGCAACTTGGCTATTAGTATAAGGAACGGAGGGGGCAACTTGGCTATTAGTATAAGGATGTAATGAAATTGACAAGGCTTTTTCCCTAGGGTTTCAGAAGGATTTGCTTAGTAGGTAAAGACAAAAAGGAGGCTTGTCATTTTACTTTTGCTAGCTGGAATAAAATGGACAAAACTCTCCGCAGCAAAGGAAATGAGATGTGTGCTGCTTCTGCATGGTGAGGGTTCTCCACATTATTTTTTAAAACATTTCTGTGCTGCCTTTCCACCCAGTTCAGGGGTTCTCAAGGTGACAAATAATGAAACATTTCGAACACTAAAAAAAAATTCAAAATACATATACATGTATTTAAAATATTTAAATGAAACATTAAAACACACAAATAGGGAGGAGGGCTAATAAGAGTTAGTGAGAAAATACCAAGCAAAAGTCTTCACCTGATGATGGACAACAGTGATAGAGGGAAGCAGATGAATCTTCCTGGAGAGGGAGTTTCAAAGTTTTGGTGTCACAACCTAGAAGGCCTTTCTCAAGTTTATTTTATTTCTTAGTTAAATTTATATCCCGCCCTTCCCAAAGTGGGCTCAGGGCAGGTAACATCAGGGTACATAAACAGAGAATTCTAAAAACAGTATAGATAGTTCTTAAGACCGCTAAAACCATTAAACAACTAAAATATCGCAGTTTCTGTTGGGAGCTAGACTGATGGGAGCTGGAGTCACACCAAGCTCATAGAACCAAGACTCTGCATAGGGCAGATGGTCAGGGCAGATGGTCTGGACAGCTTCTATGCAGGGAGACTAACTAGTTGAGTGTCCACTGCCTCAACCAAAAGCCTGGTGGAACAGCTCTGTTTTATGGGCCCTTTCTAGCCATACTTAGCCATAGATGGCAGGGGCACCAAAAGCAGGGCTTCTAAAGATGACTGGAGTGGTCATGTTGATTTATATGGGAAAAGCTGGTCCTTCAGGTATGCTATCTTCAAGCCATGTAACGCTTTAAAGGCCAATACCTTGGGACTAGAAGCAAACTGGGAGCCAGTGTAGATGGAACACACCTGGAGTGATAGGGTCCCTATGGCCCACTCTAGTCAATGTTCTGGTGTCAGCATTCTGTAGCAACTATAACTTCCTGACAATTTCAAGGGCAGCCCCACACAGAGCTCATAGCAGTAGTCTAATCTATATGTTACTATTGGGTTAAATGTAAAAAAATCATTTGCCTTGGAAGCAGGGAAGCTTTGCACAGTATCCCCAATCCTCCCCGTTTCCCAGTTAAGGGAAACAAACAAATTCAAACAAATTACAAAGATGATCTGACTCCAATGGTAACAAGAGAAAAAAATTACTTACAAAAATTGAAGTACATCTTACATGACATATTCATGTAGGTACATTAAACTTACTGTGACCAGATTAACTTCAAAAAGACCAATTTGCTACAGCTACAAGTCCAGATAAGAGAGAGAATAAGAGAGGCCCTATATAAGATAAAACAGAAGGCAAGCAATGGCCAAAGAGGCTCAACATCTAACCGAGGAGAGGGTGCAGCCAAGTACCATGTGTACCTGAGTGAGAGCATTTCTTAACCCTTTCCCTCCCTGATCCTCTGGCATGCAGAGTTACAATATCCAACAGTTACCATAGTGCCAACAAGATCTTTGTGCCCAAGAATGGTCACAGCTGGCTCACCAGCCAAAGCTGGTAAAGGGATCCCTGCCCACTGTTGCCATCTGTTTATCCAACAGGAGGCGTGGGTTCAACAGAACCCCCAACCTACAAACCTGCTCCTTTAGGGGGAATGCAACCCCATCCAGGACTGGAGATATCCCAGTTCCTGTGTCAGACCTTACGTCCACCAGTAGCACCTCTGTTTTGTCAGAATGTTCAGGCTGTTAGTCCTCATCCATCACAAAACTGCCTCCAGGCACTTGTTCTCAGTTTCCCCAGCCTCCTGGGATCTGCTGGAGGCACAAGATAGAACAGATTGTTATCCACATATTGGTAGCAACTCAGCACAAACCTCTGGATTACCCCTCCCAGAGACCTCATGTAGATGTTTAAAAACATGGAGGACAAGATGGAACCTCTCATAGGCCAGAGGCCAAGGAGTACTCCTGCACCACACTCTGAGACCTACCTTCATCATAGAACTAAAATCACTCCAAAGTGGTCCATCCCAGTCCCAGTCTTAAAAGGCGATCCAGAGGTATACCTTGATTGATGTTATCAAAAGCTGCTGAGATGCCCAGGAGAATTTTTCAAAGTATTTTATTACTTTGTTTTTTTCACAAACAGATACATACATATAGCAATACAGATATTTCTGTGATTAATGACAACATCTTTATAATGGGTGATAATACAGTAGTGTATTATGAAGAACAATTACATTTTAGACGCCTTAATACACAACATTTCAATAGAACGTATTTAGAGTATCTAAAATCGAAGCATACTTCTTTGGTTGACAAATATTCTAGAAAAGGGAGGCAGGTTGGTACAAATTTTGATGTTAAAAAACCCTGTGTTCTTTGATAAGACAGATTCAGGCCCAGATCTGGATAGCCCAGGCAAGCCCAGTTTTGTCAGATCTTGGAAGCTAAGCAGGGTCAATTCTGGTTAGTACTTGGATGGGAGACTTCCCTGGAATACCAAGTCAGGAGGACAGGGGTAGGTTTTGTTCAGCCACCTCTCTGAATATCTTCCAGGCCCCCAGTAGGGGTCAGTCACCAGAGGTTGACATGACTTCCAGGTACAGACACACAAATACAAAAAACAAACAACAACAAAAAAGACAGATTCAGTAAGTTTGTCTAATGTGCAAAACTCACACACTTTACCCATCCAGTCTGAGACTGTTAATTTCATATTGTTTTTCCAAGATCTGGCTAACGTATATCTAGCTGCCACACAAAGAAGCACTATTAAATCTTTGTTGAGCAGTCGTGGGGAGCTGTCATGCCACAAATTTAGAATCAGCATTTCAGCCTCTAATAGTAATCTGATGTTGTAGATATGCTGTATGACCAAAGACCAAAATGACTGAACATGTGTGCAGCTCAACCAGCAATGCCAGTACAAGCCAACCTCCCCACAGCCTCTCCAACAAGATGGTGAGGCAGATGACTGCATGTGGTGTATTTTTTGTGGCGTAAGATACCACCTAGAAATCAGTTTGAAGAATTGTGTCCTAATGTCCATTCTTTTGGACTAGACGTATGTTGAGCTCCAAATAGACTGCCATTGTGATTGAGTGAGGATTTTGTTGCATCGAAGATGTTAGAATTATTGAATATAAGATGGAAATTTTTATAGGACAAAAGTGGAGTTTTTATTATAACTTCAAAATCCATTAAAAGTCTCGATAAACCTAATTTAATGTTGGGTAGACTTACTAAATGAGCAAGTTGTAAGTAATGGAACCACGGTAATGTGTTATTGATTTTAGTGTCTAACACATTTTTTTCT